TCATAAAACCAAAAAAAAAAAAATTAAGTAAAACAGAGTTTTAAAAATAGAAACTTTGCTAAGACAGCCATTTGGCATTTTAAAAATTGAACTTGAGTTTAGTTTCTAAAATAAATAATCCAATATATATATATTTACTCTTAAAAATGTCGGCAGGAAATGCTTCTAAAATAACTGATATGTTCCTTCTTAAAACTAGAGTTGTTATTGGATGGATTCCAGCATGCTTTCTTTTTCCTTAGGGGTAACTGAGGGATTGTGGAGGAGTGTTGTATTCCATGTCAACACACACACACACACACACACTCACAAACACACACACACACACACACACACACACACACACACACAGAGTATTCTCTCTAATTTGCCTTTCATATAGTGGAGGCTATTTGGTTTGCTGTTAAATGTGCCTAAAGATTAAAACAAGGAATAAAGTGTTTACTTCAGTCAGAGTAAGTAGAACATTCCTGTTAACACACAGATGCTGGGGAGTTGAATTCAGCTCATCAGACTCACTCATCAAGTGAGCCATCACCTAAGGCCACAAGCTGAGTTCTTAAAATGAAGCTCTCATGGCTCTGAGAGGACTGTTCTCCAGCTATTCTTTCTTGTCTTGCATGCCTGGTCATTTTGAGATAGAAATTTAGCAGTGATGAATTGGCTCTGCTGACATATCTGGAATCTGGCCCATGAAGCAGAAATCTCCCATGGAACATCAGACAAGGAAGAGAGAAATGCTGGCCAGACATTTAGGTCCTCAAAGGGCAGCACTTCCTGGGTGCACATTTTGTCAAAACTTTTAGCTGCAGCCCCAAACCAAACAACACACAATAAAGACACCATGAATTCACAACGCCTTATCTTACATCATTCTTATTTTTATTTAGTCATCTGCTGAGTAAGATAACTGGTAACTTTACCAAGATTCTGTCCAGTTTGGTTGGTAGGTCAGAGTTCTGACCAGACTGCTAAATTTAAATGGTGTCATTCTCTAACAAATGACTGTAGAGCATTACCAGAACATGATTTGTCACACAACTCTGGTGTCATTGCTTGTGTGGACACTGGGCTTTAGTATTAGAACTGAGTCATTCCCTGCTGTATTCTCTTTGGGTGCAGCCATGGAAATGGATGGTGAAGATGTTAAGGGCTGTTTTGGGCAGAAAGCAAGCTCCCCCCCCCCACCCCCTTTCTTTTTCATCTCAGTCCAGGCGGAGCCATTGTATTCTGCTGGGCAATGACAAAGAGGGGCTGCATCATCCCTGGTGTGGTTCCCTCACAGTTGAGGCCTTTGTTGTCCCGTGACACAGCAGGGGAAGGGCTTGCTCAGAAGGCCTCATCACAGGCCTTTCAGGGCGGTTCTGAGTTGGTTATTGCCATCTGCCTGCCCCCTGGCTCTCCCAGCCAGCACAACTTATGAAAACCTCAGGCAGCGGAGGCTCATGTAATGGACCTTGTAGGTGGACAGCTAGCAGAAGCAGAGGTGGTTCTGTTTCAGAGAAATCATTCAGAAGGCAAGGGAAAAAAAGGTACTCATTTTCCAAGGCTGCAGAGATCATTGTTTATTTCCTTTAGCTACCGACCTGTTTTCTCCAATTTCCAACCTGCAAACGTCTTTCCCTTAAGAGACGATTCTAGAGGCACAATATGAATCACATAGTCCTAAAACAGGAGATCACATGTCTTTCCTGTCTCTTGCAGGTGGCGTGGTGCAGCACAGTCTTATCTCGTTGAAAACCTCTTGTCTTGCTTTGAACTAGGGGGATTTAACGCTGTTATCAGTAAGGCCAGTGCTAGGACCAGAAAGCTCTCAGCTTGACAGGCAGTTTCTGTTGAGGGCACCTGCCACCAGTGCACAGTGCAGCCATTGTTCCTTGTGTGAGAGCATTGCGAGCAGAGCTGTGGCTTTTAAAGCCTGGCGTCGAGTCTTCTCTTTTCTTCCTGCCTGAATTTCGGTTTCAGTGGAACGCATTCCTGTCTATTCTGATTTTGCTGATACAAATTTAGCAGGTGTGTGTGACTCATGCGCGTGTTACTTCCGAGAGTGCATGCTGAGGTATCCCAGTGGTACAGGGTCAGAGTCGGGGCACCCAGAGTGAGCTGGACCCAGATGCCTGCTTCCTTGGAGGATGGCAGAGGGAAGGTATTTGAACCCTGTGGATTTGGGCTCTCTAGGTGAGATCACCAAGGCCCCCAGATTAAGATGATGCCACCGTGTTTTTGTTTCTTGGGATGCTTTAAAGGCCGTGGTACTGTGAAGCTTCCAACTCTTCCTAGGAGGTGCTTTTAGTTAAGGGATGGGCGTGCCTGAGATTACTGAGAGCGAAGTTTATATAGAATTTTCTGTCTGTGGTAGCTTCATGGAACAGAGCAAGAAAATACATTTCTAGGAAAGTTTTGTTTGTTTGTCAGCCCTGAAGTGTTACTGGACACTGGGGTTTTGAATTTCTGAGTGAAGTGCTACACAGCAATGCCCTCTCAGTGGACTGCATGGGACCGGGAGAGTTTCACATACCTAGTTTTTTCTGATTTTGAGATATCTGTATAATGAGATCTTGAGGATAAGATCCAAGTATAAACAAAAATTTAATCTGTTTCATAATACTACATATGTGTACCCTCAAGATAAATTTATGCATTATTTTGAAGAATTTTCTGTATGAAACAAAGTTTCATGTCGAGGAGTTTTCCACTTATGGTGCCATGTTGGCATTGAAAGCATTTTAGGTTTTAGAATATTTTAAAATTTTGCATCAGGGATGACCAGTTTGCACTGAGTTTAGATGAATAAATACTTCCTTTATTATACCTTATTATTCAGGTAAAAGGTAATCTATAGAGAAAGTGGCTATAGATAGATATCCCATTCTTGTTTTGTATTCTCATACTCTTTAAAAGATTATAATTGTGGAAATCACGTGTTAATTGTAGAAAAACTAGAAAACATCAAAAAGGAGATATAAATATATTCTAGAAATGCCATTGTTTATGTTTTTATGTCTTTAAAATATCCACAGGCTATTCCATGCTTATTTATTATCTTGCTTATTTGGTTTTTTGGGACTGAGGTTTCAAGTGAAGATAAAGATTAATATGATACTATTTTTGGCACATTTGGAGGGTTGATAGATACTGTTTTGACTTACAGAAAAAGAATTGTAGACTGATCTCTGAGAATAGCATTGGTTCCATTCCTTCTTGCATAGGCTTTTGATATTTAGAACATATAGATGTTGTCATAGCTACTAGTATAATTAATGCTAATGTGTGACGACTTCTTAATCTCTTTTTTAAAAAGATTTATTTATTATGAATACAACATCCTGGCCCTATGTATGTCTGCAAGCCAGAAGAGGGCACCAGATCTCATTATGGATGGTTGTGAGCCACCATGTGGTTGCTGGGAATTGAACTCAGGACCTCTGGAAGAGTAGTCAGTGCTGTTAACCTCTGAGCCATGTCTCCAGCCCAAGACTTCTTAATCTCTTAGCTCTTGAAGAATTGCTGTCAGAAGATTGCCTCATTTGCTTTTTGGAAGTTGAAATTGTCAGCCTCAATATTATTCAGTATCAGTTTCTTTAACACCATCTGTCTGAGTGTCTTTGATCACTGGAGCCAAGGTATGGCTCTGTAGCAGTAGAGGAGCTATGATTGCTTTTTATGGAGATTCTGTATTACATTTGATAATACTTACAGATATAGTATACATTTGATAATATTTATAGATACAGTATACATTTGATAATACTTACAGATATAGTATACATTTGATAATATTTATAGATACAGTATACATTTGATAATATTTATTGATATAATATACATTTGATAATACTAATGGATACAGTGTATATTTGATAATACTTATTGATACAATATACATTTGATAATAATTATGGATATAGTGTACATTTGATAATATTTATAGATATAGTATACACTTGATAATGTTTATTGATACAGTATATGTTTGATAATAGTTATGGATACAGTATACATTTGATAATACTTACAATCAGTATACACTTAATAATACTTATGGACTATTTATTTCTTGTTTTTTGTTTTTTGTTGGTTTGTCAAGACAGGGTTTCTCTGTGGCTTTGGAACCTGTCCTGGAACTAGCTCTTGTAGACCAGACTGATCTCAAACTCACAGAGATCCACCTGCCTCTGTCCCCAGAGTGCTGGGATTAAAGGCGTGCACCACCACCACCCAGCTTTATGGCCTATTTATTGAGGATTGATTTTGTTCATAATTTCCTCTATTAGGAAATGATTAGTGTCCCTTTTGCTATTCAGCCCATAAAATTGTGGCCCTATTCACATTGCAATGCAAGTTCATTCTGATTCCTAAACGACACAACGCTTGCTTTGTGGTTTCTACTTTGGTGTTTTTGTGGTGTCCTTTGAAGTTCTGAAATTTTTTTTGTGTCTGATTGAGATTAAATCTGGGTTTCATTTTGATTTTTTGAAACATATTGAGCAAGTTAATTTTCTGTTTGAGTTCCTAAGGGGAATGACTCCAGGCCTCCGTGTCCCAAGAATTCAGACTTGGTCCTGCCAGAACATTCCTGTGGTTTTCCATGGGACAGATCAGTGTGTTCATGAAATTTTAGTGTAGCTTGTGTTTTCTGTGGTTAATTAAAACATCTGGCTTTAAAACTTTCCACAGACAGAGGGCATCACCCATCAGAGACCCTTCTCAGTACTGACTCAATGCTTCGGCCTCCTCCACAGACGGCCCAGCTTGTGTTTGGGGTACCTGCAAGAGTGGTTTCTGCTCATTAATGATTTTAAGCCTTTGGGAGGTGTTGGGGAGAGAGAGAGAGAGAGAGAGAGAGAGAGAGAGAGAGAGAGAGAGAGAGGGAGGGAGGGAGGGAGGGAGGGAGGGAGGGAGGGAGGGAGGGAGGGAGGGAGGGAGGGAGGGAGGGAGGGAGAATGTACATGAATGAGACTATCAGGCCTAGTAATGGCTTCCTGCCTTTGCCCCTCCAGGTTGGAGCATCTCTGGGGGAGCTTCTGTGCTCTCTAGCCAAGCATGCTGTGGTTGGATCTGCCCAGCCCTGGAATAGAAACCTTTGCCGGATGGAAAATCCATAAAAGAAAGCCCCTGTGAAAAGCAGATTCTGACGCTGACCTAAGTGCACCCAGGTAGGTGTTAAAGAGGAGGTTGGAGAAAGAGGGTCTGGTTGGGACTGTGGTTTTGTTCTTTCTGTAAGTGTTTGGAGCCAGTCCTAAGTGATCATCACCTGCTAATTGAGAGATTCCCAGATTCATGTCAGTGAGCTATCCTGATTACTTTCTTCATGTAATACGTTCTTTTCTGTTCTGTCCTTTGTCCCATCCATGCTCTCTTCCATCTTCCTTTTCTCTCTCACACAGAGGAAGACCTTCAATTATTCAGTTAGGGAAAGAGTTACAATCAGAGGCCAGGCACAGCAGCCTCAGTACTCTGGGCTTTGTAGGAGAGGGAAAACTGTCCTCACTCAGAGCATTCTAACTTATCGAGTCCCATACTTGGAAGGGCTCATTTCTCTGGGGGTTCCTGGCTGTTGACACTTTGTTTGACAAAATTGTAACACTTGACCCATTTGTTTCCAGCAATTTGTACATTTGGCATTAAGATGTTCATATAGAAATGTCCCCCGAAACAATAGCATTCAGCATTCAGATAAATATGTAATAATAGTGCCGTGTTTCAGGAGCGTGAACAATGTAGAGGATCCGTTCTGAGGAATGCATGAGCAGGGGCAGTACTGCAGGCAGCTGGCAGTGGCTGGCACTCAGCATGAACAATAAGCACTTGACAGGTCCTCACTGGGAAGGAGGATCCAGCCGTCTGAGAACATGGCTTGGCCTAGCTCACCCTGCATCCTTAATAAGTCACCCAGATTTCCCCTGGAGAATTACCACGGCCTCACTTTTAGCCCCACTGACTCACATTGGACATGTGACATAAGCCTGTCCAGTCATGGTCACAATGGTCAGGGTTTGGAGGCCTCAGTACTGTCACTGAATAATATTGAACACTTTTGCTATTTGTGAGTTTGCTAAGATGGAGCTGCTGGAGGCTTCTTTAGGAGAAATAAGCTGACTAGAGAAATCAGAGCAGAGAGATTCGGTGGGGGGGCAGGAGTTGGGAAGGATGGACACATGAATAAATATAAATATAGACATATACACATACATATATATGCATACATAAATATATATATACACATATAAGTATTCCTAGACAACATATACATGTACATATATCCACAACCTGTGCACACATATGTACACATTACACATGCATGCACACATATATAAATACAGACTCACATATATATCACATGTACACACATATACAACACAAATGCACAGACCCACACAGACATGCACACATTCTAACACATTCACATAAGCAGACACACATATGCCTGTATGTTTGCACATACAGCTTCGGCCCCTGAATTAGCCCTAAAACAGCATCTCCTGTTTCACTTTACAGACACATTAGCTGGTGGGTCAGGTGACTGTCAAATCTAAAACTCCCTGATGGCAGTGGCTTCCAGGCTGTGAAGTCTCAGTATGAAATGACTGTGGGGTAGTCTGTTTTCATAGAATCAAGGTTTAGAGGACAGGCTATTGCGGAGGCCAGCGGATGGACTTTGTGGAAGTATTCCTAGAGTTAGAACAGATTGCCTGGAAGCAGGGATGGAACTCAGGTCTTCGGGTGGTGGAGAGACTAGTAGACAGGGCTGTTAACAAAGGAAAAATAGGATTTAGGTATCAGGAACATTTGAAAATCTATTTAACTCAATTACTTGCTTTTTGAATCTAAAAGGACGGCTTCCCAGAGCCTATACTTAGAGCAAATTGCTGATAAGGAAGATAATTCCTTATGCTAGTAGTGGTGTCTTATTTACTGTAAATACAGTGGCTGGGGAGCAGCCAAATGAAGGGTTGTCAGGAAGCTACCCAGAGTTTAATAGCCTGGGCAGGACTGCTGCTCTCACCAAAACCTCATCTGGCTCTGTCCCAGCCAATCCAAGCTGCTGAAGCTGCCTTTCCCTACTCCTGTGAGTATCAGACTTTATTTTCATTATTTGATATTTTCATTATTAACATTACTTATTTTAAAATTAGTCAACTTCTACCAGGGCAGGGGGTGTTTAGGTTATAAAAGAATCCAGAAAATGCAGCTTCCCTATAACTGTCACTGCCTTTTCCCCTTTTATTACTTATATCTTATATTGTAAGTATTGATATAATTCACTAAAGTCCAAACATTCCTATTTTTTTATTTTTGTGTGATTTTCATATTCTGCGCCTTTGGATATATATCCTAACATTGATACTATCGTACTGGTTAGTTTTTGTCAACTGGACACAAACTAGAGACATAGGGAACCTCAACTGAGGAATTACCTCCATCAGATTGGCCATGGGCATGTCTGTGGGCGTTTTCTTGACTGCTAATTGATTGAGAGCGCCCAGCCCACTGTGGTCGTGCCATTTCTAGGCTGTATAAGAAAAGTAGCTGAGCTGTGGCTTGTCTCTAGTATTAATTGCATTTTGAATGTTGAATTAGCCCTTTGATAGTGGTCACATTGCCATTATCTCATTATTAAGAGTGTTGGTTCATGAACTCATGACATGGAGTGTATCTCCATGTTTTTAGGTCTGGTTTCTTTGAGCAGCATTGTGTTTTTCAGGGTCCAACTCTTGTACTTTTGTGTTTTTATTCTCAAAAGATTTTTTGTAGCTGTTATATTCATGTCTTTACAGGTAGAATTTTTAAAAATTTCACTTTGAGATTATTTGCTAGTAATTCATGGAAGTGCAGTTGATTTTGTATAATGACAACCACATTAAGCTTGTTTTATAAGCACTGATGGTGATTTTCTTAGTGTTTTTTTTTTTTTTTCCGTAGCAGATCATGTCTAGTTGATAGTCTGTACCTTCTTTAGGGAAATGGCTTTTCAGATCTTTTGCCCACTTTTATGTTGGGTTGTTGTTCTTTCTTTCTGTATACATGTGTGTATAGTTTGGATATAATATTTGCACACATTTTCTCCACCACCTTATTGCTGACTCCCTTCATGAATTTTCTTGATAGAGTCTCTCTTCTATGTCTGTCCTGGTTAGGGTTACTGTTGCTGTGGTGGAACACCATGACCAAAAGCAACGTGGGGAGGAGAGAAAGGGTTTATTTGGATTACACTTCCACATCACTGTTTATCATTGAAGGAAGTCAGGACAGGGAGTCAAACAGGGCAGGAGCCCAGAGGCAGGAGCTGATGCAGAGTCCATGGAAGGTGCTGCTTGCTGGCTTGCTTCCCAAGACTTTTTCAGCCTGCTTTCTTATAGAATCTAGGACCACCAGCCAAGGGATGGCCCCACCCACAATGAGCTGGGCCCTCACCCATCAGTCACTAATTAAGAAAATGCCCTCAAGTTTACCTACAGCAATGTAAGATGTAATTTCTTTTGTAGGCAATTTTCTCAGTTGAAGCTCCCTCTTGAGTTGTCATAAAACTAAACCAATACAGTATCCTGTAGTGTTTTAATGTAAATTGTGGTCAATTCTAAATTATATCATGTAAATATAGAAAACTATATATGTGTGATATTTTTACTGATGATATTCTTAATGGTCAGGAAGTTTTGATTATAATGAAGTTCAGTTTATGTTTTGTTTTTCTTTTAAAGGCCCTCTGGTTCTCCCCACTCATTTCCTGTCTCTGAATCTCCCTTTGTAGCAGAGGCTAGCATGAAATTTGTTATGTAGTCCAAGCTAGCCTTAAACTTGGATATCCCTGCCTCTGTCTCCAGAGAGCCAGCATATGAAGCTCATGGTTTTGATGTTATGAAACTCTTTCCCTTAATTAAAGTTCAGAGATGTTCTTGTTGCTATCTTTTTTCTTTTCTTTTCTTTCTCTTTTTTTTTTTTTGTTTTAAGAACTTTTATTCTTTTAGGCCTTACGTCTTAGTCTTTGATTCATTCGATGTTAATTTTTATTAATACTGGAAGTTCCAAACTACTTTTATTTTATTTTTTTGCATATGTATTCTAACACCACTTGCTGAAAGAACTCTTTTATCCTTTGCTTGTCGTGATGCAGTTTAGAAAATCAGTCACTCGGAGATGTAAGGCTTCTTTCTGTACTCAGTCACTCGGAGATGTAAGGCTTCTTTCTGTACTCAGTCACTTGGAGATGTAAGGCTTCTTTCTGTATTCAGTCTGCTTGAGTGTTGTGCTTATCCGTAGGGCGGTGTTTTTTGCAGTGCAGTCTTTCTGTGAAAAGGATGTGAGAACTAGACATTCATTTCAACCCATCCATTTCCATTAAAACACAAAACCAACCAACAAGCAATGTAAACAAAGCTAAAAAAAACAAAAAAACCAACTTCTGTTATCTTGGCGACATTATGTCGGCATTTCTTTCTTCCGTTTTTTCTTTTTTTTAATACTGGTGTCTATGAGCTTTTCTTTGACATAATTATGAGACCGAGATGGTAGATAATGCAAGCCAATCTAGGTGTATCCTCCAGAGTGCTATATTTGCTGCCCTGTGTTACCTGCTTTATTTTCGGCACTGGGTATTGAACCTCGCCCTTTCCGTGTGCTGAGCTTAGGTTTTACCACTGAACTATGACTCCAGTCCTGTATTACTTAAAACCTGAGCGGTACTTTGCATTTCATGAAGATGATGAACAATTTGATGACCATTTTCTCTTTGAATAAAGCATTAAATTTTCCATGACCTCTACCTTAATCATCTTTTGAAACTAAAAAAAAAAAAAAACATAGGAGGTGAGCATAGCCCCTTACCTTTACTTTGAATGCTTTTTTTTGGGAGGGGGCGGGTGATGGGCTAAGTTAGGGGTCCAGAAAGATTGAACCACTGAAGTTACAGTAGTTACATTTGTGAAGCCTCCATACTGTAATAATTTGACCATAAACACAAAATCTGGTTAGTTGATTCCCATTCACTGCACCCATGAAAACATTGAGTGAGATTGCTTCTATTGCTAGAGGCCATGTTTGGTAAGTCTATTGATACTTGCTTGGACTATTACATATTTTCATATCTTACTTATCTGTATAGTTTCCTTATTAAGTAATCTGAAATATAGGTTTCCTTTAAAGCCATGATAGATAC